TTTTTTTTTTTAATTTTCTTCTTCCTTTTTTTTTTTTTTCTAAATGGCTGGAGAGACAGCCGTGGGTGCTGGGAACCGAACTCTTATATTTTTGGTTGTGAGCCTAGCCTTTAACGGCTGAGCCATCTCTCCAGCCCTTTAATTCAACTCTGATCAAATTCAAAGTAGTGGAATATTACAATCATATTACATAAGACCTTGTAAGATTAATCATACTGAACATGAGAAAGATTAAGTCCATATCATTTAAATTTAATAAAACAATTACATGACTATAATGTAGAACAGTCTATTAGCACCACAATGAAAGCACACAGACTATATTTTAATAGTATAAAAAGAAACTTACTTAACCCAGATGAGAGAATTGTAAAATTCTGGATCAATAGATTCTAAGTCCTTAAGTCCAACTGGTTTGTTCAAAATGCGTTTATAGAATGGCAAAGAAAACCCAGTATCTATGAATTTCCCATGGAATAGAGCCTATACAGAAAGGAAGCAATAGCATTTAAGATAACAATTCAAACGTTATTAAACATCAAAACATTGTATAAATTCTCCATTTGAAAAACTGTTGAGGTTGGGTGTGGTGGCACATGCCTTTAATAGCACTCACAGGCCAAGGTAGGCTGATCTCCATGAATTGGAAACCAAGTTACCTCAAAAAATAAAACAAGCAAGCAAGCAAACACATACGTGCGCATAAACACACATACACACGAAGAACTCGTTTCTCTAAAACCTTTTCAGCTAGACAGATGGCTCAGAAAGAGCACTTGCTGCTTTTCCAGAGGACCAGGTTTGATTCCCAGTACCTACATGGTGGCTTACTACTGTCTGTAACTCAAGTACCAGAGGCTCTCAGGCTTCCTTCTAGTCTCTACAGGCACCAGGCATGCACATGGTGCGCAGACATATATGCAGGCAAAACAGCAAGACACATAAAGTAAATTTAAAAAATTAAAATTCTTGTCATGATGGGAGGTCGTGGTGCACGCCTTTAATCCTAGCACTCAGGAAGCAGAGGCAGGCAGATGTGGGTTCGAGGCCAGCATGGCCTACATAGTGAGTGCCAGGACAGTCAGAGCTACACAAAGAAAAGCTGTCTCTAAAACCAAAAAAAAAAAAAAGAGCGAGTGAGACAGAAAAAAAAATTCTGTCACATGATATATAATACACAAAAATTTAGTAATGTTGAATGAGTAAATGCACAGTTTTGCACCTGTACCTACCATGGCAATAAATCTGCCAATAAAACGGAAATATTTCAGGTGGTCTGGATTGATGTAGGAAGCTGGGTTTATCTGCAGACAGTAGTTATCCTTCCCTGCGTATTCAAACAGGCAATACATTGGGTTCAACACCTCATGTGACAAAAGAAAGAACCATTCTCTGAAATCAAAAGAAAACTTAGGATGAAAAATCTTGTAGGAAACCATGTCAACAAATCACAGAGCAGTGTTACAGAGTTATTAAGAACCTGACTGTCTCAACTGCAAAACTCTTCTAATTTCTTGTTGATTTTCTTTGTTATGTTATAGTTTATTTATATGATCTTAAATTTCAAATAATCTAAGATATCAATAACTTTAAAGACCCTTACTTGATTGCCAACTAAAAATTTTCTAATCATAACCATACATCCTAGTTTAAGATTTCCTATTGGCCCAGGTAATGAGAGCAGCCGAATCAGAACCACGACATCATCAATTGAGTCTCCTAGTGCACTTCAGCAGAGCCACTGAACCAGACATGGCATTTTCAGAGAGAAAGCACTTCTAGCCAGTTGTTTACTAGAAAAATGCCCCAAGAAGTTTCTTTTATTCTTACTGGGGGGTCAGGAGGGAGGAAAAGAGAGAGAGAGTAGGCACAAGTGCAAAAATTCAGAAGGCAAAGTTGGCTCTCCTTCTACCTTTGTTTGGTTCCTGGGGACTGAACGCTGGCTGACAGGTTTGTGTAGCAATTTCACCAGTCTCCCTGAAGCGCTAATCAAAGTGACTTGACAACACCAACATAAGATCATGGTCACGATATAACATGGATGGGTCTATCTGGTCCAATACTGTGCCATCAGTATGTACCCTAGACCTCTTTTCTGTTAGCCTAAGTGCAACCGTTGGCGAGAATTCTGCAAATATTTTAATATTGCTGGACATTCTTCTGATTATGAAAGAGTGATTTGACTGCCTCCTGAATTATCTAAATGTTTCTCTGCACATTTATTACTTAGGATTATTTCGTGTATTTTCAAATAGTTTACTTGCATTTTATAATTTATTAAGCTATAAAAAAATTTACTCAGGCTAGAGAAATGGCTCACTGGTTAAGAGCACAAACTGCTCTTTTAGAAGAACAGAGTTCAGCTCACATCAGGCAGCTCACAACTGGCTCTCTTATCTATGAGTGATCTGATGCTACCTTCTGGACTCTTGAAGAACTATGTAACCCCCCCCCCACACACACACACACATAATTACAAATAAAATCCTTTTTTTAAAAAGAGTAACTAGTAAGATGTACTCACCAGTTAGCACAAATGATTCCTTAAAAAAAATTTTTAAGTCATTAAAAAACAAACAGCATTTCAGTTAGGCATGGTGACCCATGCCTTTATTCCCAGCATTCAGAATGCAGAGACAGTAGGATCTCTGCGAATTCAAGACATCCAGGGCTATACAGAAACCTTGTAAACAAGCCGAGCAGTGGTGGCACACGCCTGTAATGGCAGCACTCATGAGGTAGAGACAGGTGGATCTCTGTGAGTGAGGCGACCTGGTCTACAGAGTGAGTTCCAGGGCACGCCCCAAAGCTACAGAGAAACCTTGCCTCAAAAAAAAACAAACAAAACAAATAAACAAACAGTACTTCAGAGATAAGACAACTAACTGGCTGCAATCTAACTGCAGTTCCCAGCACTTACGTGGTGGCTCACGGTCATCTGTAATTCCAGTTCTAAGGAACCAACACCCTCTTCTGACCTCTAAGGACACCAGGCACACACGTACATGCAGGCTAAAGCTCATGCACATAAAAAATATAAAGAATTTAAAAAACGATAAGCTTATGGGAACAAGGGAACACATCAAGATGGTGTTGAAAGCAAAGTAAGCTCCTGCCCCTCCCAAAGCCGAAGCTAAAGCAAAGGCCTTGAAAGCCAAGAAGGAAGTGCTGAAAGGCGTCCACAGCCACAAAAATAAGATCTGCACATCTCCCACCTTTCAGAGGCCCAAGACCCTGCGGCTACAAAGGCAGCCTAAATACCCCGGGAAGAGCGCGCCCAGGAGGAACAAGCTTGACCACTATGCCATCATCAAATTCCCCCTGACCACCGAGTCAGCCGTAAGAAGCTAGAAGACAATAAACACA